AGACTCTTGAGAGTCCCATGGACTGCAAGAAGATCAAACCTCTCCATTCTGAAGGAAATCAGCCCTGAGTGCTCACTGGAAGGACAGATCCTGAAGCTGAGGCTCCAATACTTTGGCCACCTCATGGGAATAGAAGACTCCCTGGAAAAGACCCTGATGTTGGGAAAGATGGAGGGCACAAGGAGAAGGGGACGACAGAGGACGAGATGGTTTGGAATGGCATTTTTTGGCTTGTGAAATCTGTTCCGCTCTGGGTGCTCTCCTCTACTGCAGGGGTGCCCCAACTTTTTTCAAAGGGGGCCAGATTTGATGAAGTGAACACACATGAGGGCCAACCAAAGTTGTTGAGCCACAGGGTCCGGATTGAATTGACCGCCGGGCCAGATTGGGCCCCCAAAACGGACTTTGCACATGCCGTCTCTATTGTCAAAGTAAGTGTTACAGGTTAGCCTCTTTTATGACGTTGCTTTCTTATCTTTATGGATCCGCTATTATTTTTTGCTATTTGTTGTGAACTGCCTTGAGTGAAAAAAGGTGGGGTTTCAAATGGTTGCAATAAATGGTGGGAGGGTGTGCAATAATTTTGCTCGCTCCCTTCCCCAAGTGCACAATTTGCTGAAAAACCTTTTCAGCCATTCCTTCTCAAATCCCTCCTTTTTCCCCAATGCAGTTTTTCTGTGCACACTCTATAAGCATAGCACATTTCAGTTTCAAATATTCTGATTATTTATTGACTTGATTTGGGGTGGGCCAGCTGCCACCCCACCCCCACCCCCCATGTCCCTGAAGTTCCCAGCAGCTGGCATTCAGGGACTTATTGCCTACAACCGTGGAGTTAGAATCTAGGTCTCCCAAGGTTAATAGCTGCAGATGTGAGGATGTTCTGCACAAACCTCGGCTGTGTACACACCATATATTTAAAGTACCCCATGCACTGGCCCTTTACACTGATTTTGGTCACATCCACACCGTATATTTAAAGCACGTGGCTTCCCCCAAATAATCCTGGGAGCTGCAGTTCACCCTTCACAGAACTTCTGTTCCCAGCACCCTTAAACTACAGTTTCCGGGATTCTTTCGGCATATGCTTCAAATGTCCGAGGTTTGTGCAGCCCCATCCGCAGTCCAGAGAAGCTGGGCAAGGAAATCCTATTTGCTTGCCCGAGTGAGCTTCCCAGTGGATCGGGCCCACAGTGGAGCACGTGCGTCATGTGGGGTAAGGCGTGCCAATTGGGTGTCTTGATTTAAGTGACAGAGGGAAGGGAAGAGGTTACCGAAGCCAGCATTATGCCATCGATGATGGCGCCAAAAAATGTCCTGGCAGTGGGAGAGGCCAGGAGTTGGAAGAAGGTTCTTGGCTGGCAGCCAGAGGTTGGGTGGGGAAGCCAGGGTGAGTTCAGGGACAGCAGAACGGTCTCTGTGGGAAGGGAAATATTCAGAATATTGAAGCCAAGGGCTTTTGGTTCTTCGACATGAGTACAATTCCCTTGCATATCCTTTTACTTTAGGCTACAAAAACCAAAGCCCCGGTGAAAGCAGGCATGTCCAAAGTCCATTTCGGAGGCCTAATCCGGCCCACCAGACAGTTTATTTCCTGGGGTAAAATCGGAAAAAAAGCTCAACAACTTCAATCCAATAAAAAGCTCAACTTTGGCCGGCCCTTTAGTCGGCCCTCACGCATGTTCGCTTCATGAAATCTGGCCCTCTTTGAAAAAAGTTTGGACCCCTCTGAAAGGGATGCTTTCTAAGGAATTTTCTTTTTTAAGGAAACAAACACTTTCTTGTGCACTTTCTTTCTGGTTTTGGGCTTTCCTCTTGCAAAGTCAGCACCCCAGTTCAGCCCAGAAAAAAATGGTTAGCTAGCACTGTTATTAAGGATCAGAGCAATATAGTCTGATCTCCAAGCCTGTGCCAAATCCCTGGCAGCTGGAACAATCCTAGTTTCTGAACTGTCCGTACGGCCAGCCTCACCTAGAGCTCATTGCGCTTTGTAGTTAGTCTTAACCTTGACTTCTCATACAGCAGGTTTCCTCTCCTGTCCTTTTACCTGCCGCAGGACCAGTTCCTGTGCAGGAGTGCATATCGAGGTCATAATGGCACTGAAAATCCACGGAGACATTTCCATGAGCAAGGGCAAGTGTCATCCAATTCCTCTTCTGTTCTGGAAGTTTCCAGAAAAATACAGAACACAAGGGGCCTTGTTTTGTTTTGTGTTTTGTTTTGTTTAATGCTTTCTGAATATTTATTTATTGGTGTGTGCTTTTCTTTTTGTAAATCTACCAAAGAATAAAATAAAACCAGGGATTGAATTTAATTCTAAATTATATTCCGGAAACATGGGAGATTACAAGGGGTAAAAGAAAATAATGGATATACCGTGCCATATTAGAAGCAAAAATACTTGTTTTGATGAATTGGAAGAACCGCAAAAAGATTCCATTGAGCACGTGGATTGATAATACGGACAGACTAGCTACATACGAACGAATTGCGTGTCGACACAAATTAAGAATGGATAAATATGAAGAAATCTGGAAGGAATATTTAAGCGATAAGGCGGACAGTGGTGGAAAGTAGGGGGAGGAGAGATGGGGAAATATTGTTAAAAAGGTGTAGTCATAGGTATATCAGTATTCAAATTTGAATTGTCAAATTGTGTTTTGTTGTTGTTGTTTAGTCGTTTAGTCGTGTCCGACTCTTTGTGACCCCATGGACCAGAGCATGCCAGGCACTCCTGTCTTCCACTGCCTCCCGCAGTTTGGTCAAACTCATGCTGGTAGCTTCGAGAACACTGTCCAACCATCTCGCCCTCCGTCGTCCCCTTCTCCTTGTGCCCTCAATCTTTCCCAACACCAGGGTCTTTTCCAGGGAGTCTTCTCTTCTCATGAGGTGGCCCAAGTATTGGAGCCTCAGCTTCAGGATCTGTCCTTCCAGTGAGCACTCAGGGCTGATTTCCTTCAGAATGGAGAGGTCTGATCTTCTTGCAGTCCATGGGACTCTCAAGAGTTTCCTCCAGCACCATAATTCAAAAGCATCAATTCTTTGGCGATCAGCCTTCTTTATGGTCCAGCTCTCACTTCCATACATCACTACTGGGAAAACCTTAGCTTTAATTATACGGACCTTTGTTGGCAAGGTGATGTCTCTGCTTTTTAAGATGCTGTCTAGGTTATTGTGTAATTGTGTTAGTAGTGTTATTATGGTTTTTGTTGTATGTGCCTTGTGCGGTTGTTGATTGTATTGAAAAAATGATTAAATAAATTAAAAAAAACACCCCAGGGATAAGGGTTTTTCCCCCAAGATGGTGGAGGGTCTGTTTGCTGCTTCCTGTTAGTGTTGTAGTGGTGACACTTGCCCTTCTTCTGATAGAAAATGCTGTGCAGGGGAGGACCAAGGAGAGAAATGTCCCTATTTTCATCTGAAGAATGTTGAAGGGTATGCAACAAGCTAGGAAAAACAGAATTTGGACGTTCATTTCAGGAGTGCAGCTCTGTCAAAATGCCTCACGTTTTCCCTTCCACGTTCTGTGTGGCAGGCCTTGTGTTGCGCAAGACAGAGTTTTGAAAAGTAGCCCAGAACTGATTGTTTCTCTCTTGGCTGCAGCATTAGAGATGGGATCATGTCTTGCTGCCTTTACACATTTTCCTTTCGCTCTCTTTGGGCCTTAAAACATGATGAACCCAGAGACCCTTGGGATACAGAAAGAAGGTTCTGTCTTCACTCTTCAGTCAAGGCAAGAGAGACTCTCGCTGTTCCTGTAGACTCGCCAACTCTTGAACCTCTTCCAAGGTCCACAAGTCCTTTCTATCTGTGATGATCTTTAGTACCTGGAATGGTGTGACTGATAGACCAGGAATCTTAGGGGAAGCTTTGGCAGTGCGGTTCAAGTCAGGAAGAAGACTAAGTTGTGCCAATGGAAATTATCTCTAAGAGAGTGCATGTTTAGAATGGAAGCTGTGTACCTCTGGTTACGTACTTAATTCGTTCCGGAGGTCTGTTCTTGTTGTAGTTTAGTCGTTTAATCGTGTCCGACTCTTTGTGACCCCATGGACCAGAGTCGTCTGTGACTGGACCTAATGGTCAGGGGTCCCCTTTACCTTTACCTAAGTCTAAGACAGCAACAGCAGCAGCAGCAGCAGCCCGTCTATAGGGCCATGCCTATATCTTTATTTAAGCTAGCTCCAAATTAAGTGGGCAAAAAGTCTATTTCCCAGATATATAATATTTTGAAGTCCACGGACAAATATAGTTATTTCCCCTCACTTTCCCTTTATATTCACCAAAAACTTCCCTTTATGCTCAAAATTGCTTTTTAACTGCAGCTGTTTAGAAGACTTCTTCATGTTTACAATATTTTTTAAAAAATGACTCATCTGGGTGGTGCTGTTATTTTGAGCAGAATTCACGCCCCCAAGGGAGAGATGATGACTTGCGTGTATCTCAATTAAATCTGGAACAGAAATATTTTGCAAATGTTGAATTTATCCAGAGCAGGGAGGGACCCAAACAAAATTATTTTAGCCAGGGCTTATTTTCAGCCGGAACTTCTGCCACCTCTCCGGTGGGCGCCATTGCCATTTATGAGAGAACAAGGGAGGCGTTCGTGGTGAGTTGTGGCACCTCTTTTTCTAGAAAAGGAAAGTGTCTTCTTCAATTTGGATGAGAAAGGCCAAATGCAGCTCAATCATTCTTGATGCGTGTGTTTAGAGATGAATGGATTGGGGGTGGGAGAACAGATAGATGGAAGGACAGACAAATATGAATGGGTAAAGTGGGACGCGGGTGGCGCTGTGGTCTAAGCCACAGAGCCCAGGGCTTGCCGATCAGAAGGTCAGCAGTTCGAATCCCCGCGATGGGGTGAGCTCCCGTTGCTCGGTCCCTGCTCCTGCCAACCTAGCAGCTCAAAAGCACGTCAAAGTGCAAGTAGATAAATAGGTACCGCTCTGGCAGGAAGGTAAACAGCATTTCCATGCGCTGCTCTGGTTAGCCAGACGCGGCTTAGTCATCTGGCCACATGACCCGGAAGCTGTCTGCGGACAAACGCCGGCTCCCTCGGCCACCCTTACATAAAATAACATGCCCATATATAAATATAAGTATATAGTTGATAGGTCATTTTAGGATTGATCAAGGGGAAATCTAGAAGGTTCAAGATTATGGGGGCACCTTTCATTCTACCTGGAAAGCTTCCCTGTTTGAAAAGATAAGAAGCTTGGGATTCTCTGCGCAGATCTTGATAGCGGCAGGATATGAGAGAGCCAGAAGTCAAGTGCTCCAACGCATTAGGGACATAGAGCTGCAATGTCATATGGGCAAAATGGATAAACATGCCACAATTAGAGACTTTGGGAGAGGGTTCTCACCCGCAAATTATCTGGCTGATTTACAAATACCTAAGTACAGACACTCCTTTACCCTGGCCAGATTTAACGTTTTGCCCTCTGCTCTGCTGCTAGGCAGATATGAGGGCAAACCATATGAGTCACGTGTTTGCCCATGTGGCTCATCGGAAGTGGAAACAAGTCTGCATGTATTGCTGCACTGTAGTTACTACGAGGATCTACGCCTGACCTTTATTGCCCCAGTTCTACAAAAGCTTAAAAATGAACCAGAACTCCAACGTATGAGAGCCTTGGTAGATGATAAGGTCCCTGAAATTACGATCAATGTTGCCAAATTCTGTGTAGCCGCTATTAGGCGCAGGAAACAAGAGCTTTCCAATGTCAACATGCAGGCGAAGGCAAATACTTAATTTTATTTATGCTGTCTAATTTTAAATTGCTGTTATGGCCTAATCTGTATTGAAATTGTCCTTTGTTTTTTCCGGTGTTATGTTTCGCTGACTAGCTTTACGAGTTAATCTGGTCTGTGACCGTTTAATAAAATTTGATTTGATGGGGGCATGGAATCATGAGTCCAACAGCATCTCGTAGCTAAAAGCAGACAGGAACTTACAAGAGAAGCAAAGCAAGGCACACCAAGCATGCTCTGACAATAGGTCTAAATAGAAAGCTGATGAATGCAAGGGTTTGGGTAAGGGCAGCATGTGACAAATGTCTAAACGAGGAACCAAATTTGCTGATCGAGCTGGAACAACAAGATGAGGAACTAGGTGAGAGATTATCACCAAGGCAAGGAGCAGGCAAAACTCTGGAGAGCTATTCAGAAAGAGGCACCCCAAATTGGATGGAGATAGAGAAAAGTGATGAAAAATGCTATGGTCCAATAGATGCAAGCAACAGAGAGATGGGTAAAATCTGGAATGGCGGGACTAAATAACGAAGAGCAGGAAAGAAGCAAGGCACGCGAGAAATCTTGGTATGTGTTGTTTGTCTTCTGTTGCTTCTTATTCATTCTTTATTCCGACAAAGTTATTAAAGCACAATCAGTCTTTGAAATAATTTGAACTTGTCTGATCTATCACAGCTTGGGTCAGAAGGTGAGGAGACTTCAGCGAACTTCAGATTTGCTGGGTAGTAAGATGGGACGTGGGTAGCGCTGTGGTCTAAACTACTGAGCCTAGGGCTTGCTGATCAGAAGGTCGGTGGTTCGAATCCCCGCGACGGGGTGAGCTCCCGTTGCTCGGTCTCTGCTCCTGCCAACCTAGCAGTTCGAAAGCACGTCAAAGTGCAAGTAGATAAATAGGTACTGCTCTGGTGGGAAGGTAAACGGCGTTTCCGTGCGCTGCTTTGGTTCGCCAGAAGCAGCTTAGTCATGCTGGCCACATGACCCGGAAGCTGTACGCCGGCTCCCTTGGCCAGTGAAGCGAGATGAGTGCCGCAACCCCAGAGTCGGTCACAACTGGACCTAATGGTCAGGGGTCCCTTTACCTTTTAAGATCCCTATGGGTGGTATTGGGTCACATTATAAAATACCTCATAAAATAAAAGTCCCATCGAACATCGTTGATGGATGACTTTGAAAACTCCTGCCTGGCTCTCTCCCTTCTTAGGATTCTTAATCTCAAAACTGGATTTCAACTGAGTAGCCATGCAAGCAGAGAAGCAGAAGGCTGCCTTCTGTAAAGTTCAGCACATGGAGGCCACCCTGATAAAACAGTGTCTGTGGCTTAGATACTTTTCTCAGGAGGGTGGCAGAGATCAGTGGCGTAGCGTGGGTTGTCAGCACCCGGGGCAAGGCAAGTAATTTGCGCCCCCTAACCCGTGGAGCCAGGTAGGGGGCAGAGAGCTGCGAGTGTGAGAGCCCCCCCCAGATGTTGCGCCCGGTGCGGCCGGCCCCCCCTGCACCCCCCACGCTACGCCACTTGCAGAGATTCTCATTCCTAATACATGCTCTGCACAAGCTGTTTAACACAGGCTTCATTCAGAGGTTTCCGTCACTGCAGAGACTAGTGTAAATACTAAACACCTAGGAATGAAACCTTCCCCGCTGTGAACAGTTATCTCAAGCTGGGTTTGATCATCAACATTTTTTCACATTAATTTGCAGAATGGCCCCATCAATTGCTCCTATATGCATAATCCAACGTGCCGCTCTTGCACATGCTGTTCCTAGAACATTTGCACGGCGTGTTTTGATTTCATTAGAAATGAAGTTAATTAAAGTTAATGATGTTGAGTGGCACGTGGAAAATCTCCGTAGAGTGAATCTAGATGCTTGAATGGGATGCGCGAAATCTCTAAAGTTGTGTTTTATTTTGTTTGGGCCTGATCTTTGGGCCACACTTAATGTGTTTCGGGTGAAGTCTCTGGTGCTCACCTTTTACACTCCAGTCCTAAGCATATTTAATTCCAGTGGGTGCAGAATGCCGCGGCGAGGCTCCTTACGGGGTTCTCGCTGTGAGATCACATTCACCCGGTGCTATACCAGCTGCACTGGCTCTCGGTGGAGTACAGGATCAGGTTTAAGGTGCTGGTTTTGACCTTTAAAGCCTTATACGGACTAGGACCCTCGTACCTACAGGACCGCCTCTCCTGGTATGTCCCACGGAGGACCTTATGGTCTTCAAATAAAAACATCTTGGAGATCCCGGGCCACAGGGAGATTAGGCTGGCCTCAACCAGAGCCAGGGCTTTTTCGGCTGTGGCTCTGATCTGGTGGAACGCTCTGTCACAAGAAACTAGGGCTCTGCGGGACCTGACATCTTTCCGCAGGGCCTGCAAGATAGAGCTGTTCCACCAGGACTTTGGCTGAGGCACAGCCTGACTCCCTCCTTTGGCAATCTTCACAGAACTCTAGCCCAATGGTTGCCATCAATTTGATTTGAATTAATTTTAGAATGAAATGAGTTTAGAATGTTGTATTATTTTATTGTTGTTAGCCGCCCTGAGCCTGGCTTGGCTGGAGAGGGCGGGATATAAATAAAATTTATTATTATTATTACTAAAAATCCCTTTTCTTTGAATCCAGTATACTTCCAAATGGGCGTGCTTGAGAAACAATTTATTGACTAAAAGGGGAGGTGGTAGTACCTGCCTGTGTTTGCATGCAGGTGTTGAACAGAGCTGTCCTTTACCTCCACAGGTAAAGTGGGAGACTGTCAGAGGCTGATACTCACAATATACAGTGGTACCTCAAGTTACAAACTTAATTCGTTCCGGAGGTCTGTTCTTAACTCAAAACCGTTCTTAACCTGAGGCACACTTTTGCTAATGGGGCCTCCCGCTGCTGCCAGCACACGATTTCCATTCTCATCCTGGGGCAAAGTAGCCAGTGTGGTGTAGTGGTTAAGAGCGGTGGACTTGTAATCTGGTGAACTGGGTTCGCTTCCCTGCTCCTCCACATGCAGCTGCTGGGTGACCTTGGGCCAGTCACACTTCTCTGAAGTCTCTCAGCCCCACTCACCTCACAGAGTGTTTGTTGTGGGGGAGGAAGGGAAAGGAGAATGTTAGCTGCTTTGAGACTCCTTTGGGTAGTTATAAAGCGGGATATCAAATCCAAACTCCTCCTCCTCCTCCTCCTCTTCTTCTTCTTCTTCTTCTTCTTCTTCTTCTTCAACTTGAGGTACTACTTCCAGGTTAGTGGAGTTTGTAACCCGAGGTGTTTGTAACCCGAGGTACCACCGTACTACACTTGCAGTCAAATCCCAGTCATGACCTATTTCCTCCCCAATTATGCCTTTTTAACGGGGCTACATTGGGTTTCCCAGAACAATTCTGTCGCACAAACCATTCATACCAAGCTTCCAGGGAGACTCCAATTCCTAATTTGATGATAATTGATGGTGATGTGTTTTCACATGCTGTTGCTTTCTGACATTCCAGTTACGTTTTCCATCCTGCATTCAGGCTATTTTCTTTTCTTCGTCTCTGATTTCTCTTTTAGACTTCATTAGCAAAGTGCCCAGCCAGAGCTGCTGATTCAAAACTTTGGACGGACAATAAATAGCAAAGCTTCTCAGCCGTTCTGAAAGGTAGGAAGGTCTTGCCCTTTCCATATTGCCATTTTTACTGAATTACATTTATTTTTTGAAACGTTTTTACTTTTCCAGAGGAGATAACATATAAGAAAAGAAAGAAAGAGGTGATTAATTTGATCATTCTAGGCCAGGGGTCAGCAACCTTTTTCAGCCGTGAGCCGGTCCACTGTCCCTCAGACCATGTGGTGGGCAGGACTATATTTTGGAGGGGGGGGGGAAATCAACGAATTCCTATGCCCCATAAATAACCCACAGATGCATTTTAAATAAAAGGACACATTCTACTCATGTAAAAACACGCTGATTTCTGGACCGTCTGCGGGCCGGATTGAGAAGGCGATTGGGCCGCATCCGGCTTAGGTTGTTCTAGGCAGTAAGGGAAGGAACGTTAGGGAGGTACAGGGCCTTTTCCCATCCAACCCCAAATCTCCATATCCCACAAATCAATTTGAACTCTCTTCCCTTCCCTGGGCAAAGCACCAGTTATTTCTGAACTTGTTGGAGGGCACTGTTAGACCACATCTTGCACAACCATAGATCTCCAATAACCCATCCCGACACTGGCCATTTGCACTGATTTGGGTCACATCCACACAATACATTTAAACCACCTGGCTTCCCCCAAAGATTCATGGGAATTGTAGTTTACCCCTCACAGAACTACAATGCCCAGCACCCTTAGTAAACTACAGTTCCCATAATACTTTGAGGGAACCCAAAGTGCTTTAAATGTATGGTGTGGGTGAAACTAAAGCACCCGAAAGTCTCGGTTTGGAAAGCAACATTTTGGTGGGTAAAATAGTTTATGAATCGCTGGGTCTTTGATAGGGACCGATGGCAGATCGATGCTGGCAGGTTGCTATAAAAGGCCATTGCTATGCGCATTCAAGGGAAAATTATTTATTTTGATGAGCACTACTTTCCCCCACTTGTTTTCCCCCACCCTTTTTTCACTCCCCTTCCTTTCAGCAGATAGTCAGCAACCGTGGCATCTGCAGATCTCATGGAGTACGAGGACAACTTCACGGAATACTTTGGGGCTTACGAAGAGGACGAGCCCCCCGTGTCCCACCTCACTCACGCACAGGTGGCGTCGCTTGTGTTCCACGGCGTGGCTTTTCTCCTAGGAGTGCCTGGCAATGCGATCGTCATCTGGATTATGGGCTTTAAATGGGACAAGACCGTCACTTCCCTCTGGTTCCTCAACCTGGCTATTGCGGACTTCATCTTCGTCCTTTTCCTCCCTCTCTACATCACCTACGTGGCCACGGGCTTCCACTGGCCCTTTGGGAAGTGGCTGTGCAAAGCCAACTCCTTCATTGCTCTCTTCAACATGTTTGCCAGCGTCTTCTTCCTGACAGCCATCAGCCTGGACCGTTACGTCCATCTGATCCACCCTGTCTTCTCCTACCGGCATCGGACTCTCAAGAACACCTTCTTGATTATTGCTTTCATCTGGGTTTTGGCCACGCTCATTGGAAGCCCGGCGCTGTACTTTAGAGATACCCTTACACTACACAACAATGTCACCATTTGCTACAACAACTTCCATCCCACGGACGTCGATCTTATTATCCTCAGACACCATGTTCTGACCTGGGTAAGGTTCATTTGCGGCTACCTCTTTCCTCTGCTGACCATGATTGTTTGCTACTCTCTTCTGATATGCCAGGTGAAGAAAACTGCCACGCTGACCTCCAGCAGGCTCTTCTGGACTGTTCTGGCTGTGGTGGTGGTATTTTTCGTTTGCTGGACCCCATACCAAATATTCAGCATCTTTGAGCTCTCTGCTCACCACGATAACTACTGGCACGACTTGCTCCGTGACGCCATTCCTCTTTCCGTCAGCTTTGCTTTCATCAACAGCTGCCTTAACCCCATTCTTTACGTCCTCCTCAGCAAGAAACTCCAGTCCTGTTTCAGTGTGACGTTTTCAGAACTGGTGAAGCACACCCTCTGGGAAGTCAGCCGGTCTGGGACAGTCAGCGAACAAGTCTGGAATTCTTTGAGTCTACAGCAGGGCGAAGCCTCTGAGCTGGAGACTTCTCTGGGTGAAATCTCTCCCTGACGGGCACTCACTCTGCAATATGCCCCCCTTATTAAGATCTAGACATCAGAGGTGTTTGTAACCCAACCGTCACTACACAAGAGTAGCCAAGGTGGCGCTCTCCAGGTGGAACTCCTTTTGCTTTGACCCCATTCAGCTGCCATGAGCTGCATATTTTTTCTGGTAAAACTTCTTTAGTAAAAGGACACATGTTTAGTAGCCACTGCGATGTCATCCCCATGTTGCGTACAGGCACTCTCCTCATCCTTGACCATTGGCCACAAATGATAGAAGTTGGAAGTCTGAATGAGGTCAAAACAACAGAAGTTCATAAGCAACTTCAATTGTGTGTAGGGTTGCCAAACTTTTAGGCATCCCAAACTCACATGCTTCTGAGGAGCCATCATTAAAATGTTGTGATCTTTATCCCCATGCCATTTAAAGCTTATCTGCCAATTTCTGCACATCAAGCGACTGTTAAAAGACACAATAGAAGGCCTGATAATCTCCCCCACCGCCCAATTCAAGCTACTGAGGGAGGAAAGATGTTTGCGCAGGGACTTAGGATCATGGAAGACAGTGTGTGTCATGGAGGGTTCTTATTTTATAGTTCTTCAGTATTAAAACATTGTCCTTCAAGCACTCTAAACAAAGACATTGATTCCCCCTTGAAGTAACCGCATAGGGAAATGTCACACGAAACAACACGCAAATGCACTTTTTGATGTGCTTTTAAAAGCATAGTACCTTTGCAATCTTTTAAAGTAGTCAAGTATACTTTATTATATATATTCTTGGCACAGAGCCTTGCTGAACAAAACTGACAATTTCTCTTCCCCTTTGCTTACGGTTTTTTTGCTTAGTTTCTGCTGAAGATGTCTAAGATTATATATATTAAATGCAAGGATTGCACTGCTTCCAATGAGCCAGGTTAATCTGTAAGCCTGCTAGCGAGCTTTATCGACATTTTCAGTAAACCTGGCTCCTTCATCCTATAGGTCATATCCAACAATACTCCTCAGGGTCAACACATTGGAATTAAGAGGCAGAACTAATTAAACCCATTAATTTCAGTAGGTCTACTCCGAGTAGGACCATTCCCAGGTATAGAATTTAGCAGAGCAGGACATTTGCACGTGAGGTTTCTGGTCCACTGAAACGATTTGCACAGAGACACATTGATCTGGGTATTTTGCACTTCCAGAGGGTTTAGGGAAACAGTTTTGTTCTACAAAAGAAGCAAAGCAATACATTCACTAAGAATGGCTTTCAGAGTTCAAGCTGCTTTACCAGTGCTGATTTCACTTAATCTCAGTCAGATACTGACCTAGCTGCATAATATTTAGTGGTAGCACCACTGTGTTCCTTTCAAATTATCTTATACTGCCTGTTCTGACCTTAAATATGGTAGTTTCTTCAGCACTGCCACCCCAGTCAATTGATCCCTCCTTGCCTTTGCCTTATTACTGCACAGGTCTTTTTTCACACACCTTTTTCTCGGGTTTTTGTTTTGCTTCGTGTGCCCCATCCTGTCGTCCTCTGAGCTCCCTGTCCCTTGCCTTGTCTCCTGAAAGGTCTTCCCTGTCTTTCGCATCACCGGAAAGCTACCCTTGCAATGTTTTCATCTACGAAACCCCTCTAGATTAATGTTTCACCTCGAAATCCCAACTTCCCCTCCTCTCGCAAACTCTGGATGGAAAACATGCTGACAGCTTTCTCCCCTGAGCAGGGAGGGGCGTTTGTGGATATCATAGCAGCTCGGAAACGTGTGAGGGGCTTTGCCACTGCAGTAGCGATCCATGAAAGGAGGACAGAATGTACAATTCCAGTGGGACTTGTCTGTAAAAAGCACGCTTGGATCCTGTTTATAGAAAACAATTTACATGTAATTGACTGTGCATTACATTTCTTTGCGACGTATGGTAGAAATTATTTACATTGATGTAGGCTGCAAATGTGTTGCAGCCATATTTTTAAAAATCATAATATTGCCAAAGCAAGGAAACAGCATTTGAAATAATAAATACTTCAGATTAATTTTGTTTGGTTTGGCTTTGACTCATAATGCCATTACAAATGTGGTGAGCTGGGAAGATTTGCCAGCTGTGTCTGTTTCAGGAAGAGAAGGGAGAAGACTGTCTTTTCTGAATCTCTGGGTAGGAAATAATGGTGTTTGTATGTATGGCGAGGAATGTGAAATGAGCAAAAGCTTTCTAGACGCTTAATTCCTTGGCACATTATACTAAATTGCTTTGCTTTCTCGAGCAATCAGCTCTGTACATGTTTTGTGTTCCTTGCCTCTGTAATAAACGAAAATCTGCCCTTATTTCCTTATGGGGGACACAAGAGCCCTTACAGAGTCCTTTGTAGGTTCTCCCATCGGTCGGAGAATATTGAGAAGCAAAGCAGCTTGTAAGTCTGATCTTTATTGAACTGTTGCAACAGGGTGCTCCCTTCACACGCAGGAGAAGGAGGAGGACCCAGAACCAAGGTGTGTCTGCCCTTTTAAAAATTTAAAATTGCCAGCCCTGGAGTCCAAGACCACCCCCAGAAACATCATACCTACATCACAGAAAGGGCGGGCTAAAGCAGAAATCTGAGTGGGTTATTTACCTCCTGTCTGGCAAGTTACCTGTTAATGCTCACTTGATTGGATACCCTGGGGAGCCTGGCCAGTCTTTCGTAATGATAAATACTTAGTTCCTGAGCCAGGTCACAGGCTCACCCTATTCATACACAGACATACCCTTAAGACAGGATTTGTGAAAGAAAAGACAATGGGGAGGCTTTTCCATTTGACTTTGCAGAGAAAACACCTGGTCAGTTTGGGAGTCAAAACAACTTCATGGCTGTTCTCCTGTGCTGCTTCAGACATGTGGTTTATATATGTGTGTGTTTGCTTGGTACATTTATGAACATTTATTATATAGATAAGATCTTATTTTTTTTATTTCACCATGCATTCTCATGTGGCTTAGCTCATTTCTTCATGGGTTCTGTATTGGTTGGGACAGATGACTTTTCTCCATAAATTCAATGAATTTGTTGTAGTCATGGTGCGGGTTGCTTTGTGTTTTGAATTAATTGTCCTAGATTTAGTGATCTCTTCTCTTGATCGGAGTTTCTAGCTCTCAGTTGTTTCCCATCTGTAAAATGGGTTTCAAGAATGTCTTCTAAATGGAATTGCCTCGTGTGTTGCATGTTGTCGTGTGCTGTACAGCCGGGCTCACCTGCTTTGAGTTGCATTTAAGCTCTTGCTTTGTGTCTGTGAATATCCGCCCTCCCTTCCCCACAGGTGGGCAGGGTTTGCGGCACCGAGCAAGGCTCACCTGGGCGGGTGCCACCCACCTGCTTGAGCTGGCCTTTGACCTGCCCTCAGCCAGGGAGGACAATGGACGGCCGGCCAGGCCTAAGGCCAAGAGAAAAGAGACTGACTCCTGGGCTCAAGCCTCTTTTGCCGTTCTTCCTCCCAGGATCAATGACTTCATTGGGCAATGACTTCTGGCTCCACGACTTGCAACGAGCCCTTGGGGACTGGATAGATGGCGGGGTTTGATTGGTCCTCGGTTGTGGGACTTGGCAGCGAGGCCCCTTAGGGCCTCGAGTGGTGGTTTTAGGCCTTGGCAAGGTAGTGAAGGAAGGTGAGGACAGGTGACCTCACCTAGGCCCGAAGTCACCCCACCCCCCCAAGCAGGCTCAAAGCTTCTCAAAATCATTTTTCTCAGCAGCTAAAAAACATTAGCTAAGCATCAGAAACATTCCGCTTGCTGTAACTAAAAAGATTGCAACAAGGTAGAGGACAGAGCCCATTGTCTTCTCAGGCCTTTCTCAGAACCACATTGCAACTTGCTTTCTCTCTGGGAACCATGCCAAAGCGCAAGAATGAAACAACGGGAACACTCTAAAAAACCCCTCACCCCCTTTCCTGCCAAGAGTCCACAATAGTCCCAAGACAGCTTTCTGTTCATGCTCAGAGGAACCTCAACATGGGGCAGGACTCCTGAGGGAGGAGAAAGGGGGAGGGAACTAGAAGGGGTATATATGTTTGTGCACATGATTGTGAACTCGTGCATGCTTTTGTGGGCTATCACACTTGCTCCTTCTACCAGTTCATGGATGGTAGAAATAAAAGCCTTTTCTCCGAAACTATTCCTTGAGTGTCTGTTGACTCCCACTTCCCTTTCCCAGGCGCAATATTTTTCCCACCCGAGGGCAAAGCCTCATAAGGCTACAGTAGCCTTTAGTCTAACATCAAGTTGGTGAGGATGCATTCATGCTTCCTCCCCATGCGGCGGTGCTTGCAGGGCCCGTTAAAGGGCAAAACCGGGAGTCCCTGGCCCTAGAGCGACAGCTTGTAGGTCAAACTCCCCGGACAAGGTCAGTGGAAGGGCATGCTGTGTAAGTTTGCGCTTTGCAGTCCCCTCTCACTGAGCCTCAACTGCCTGCATATCCTCAGCCAGGCGGGCCGAGAGGGTTACCTGCCAAGGCCTGTGCCAAGTTTCCCACTTCTGAAGTTCAATAAAGTTGTGGCCAATTTGAACCCATACTCTGGTCTCTTGTCTTATCATTTGGGGAAAGGGGTAGGCACCACAGACAGGGTTTAGCGCGTGTGCCCGCAAATAGATTTGTATTAGGTTGATCTGTGCGGACAGCCCGCTTTTTCTGTAAGATTTCAGTCCCCGTGTTCAGACACACCTGCCTGTGTGTGTCACGTTCAGTTTGTCCTGGGCTCACAGCTCCTCGCTCATTTCTCCTTATGGGAGAAATAACACAAGCAAAATTTATGTACTGTGGAAAAGTACTTTAGTGAAATATACGTGATTTGTTTCTGCAAGTGTGTGTGGGCTGCAAATGGCTGCAGAACAGCTGGCACTCGTGACTGAGCAACTGGCTTTGCAGAAAACAAAATGCATGCCAAACTTACTGTGGAGTGTTTGCAAAACTGGAATTGGGCTGTTTTGGGAGCTGGCCTGGCCTCCATGAAGGTTCGCCTAATAGATCACAGAATATGTTGCTAGTAAATTCCTAGGCAAGGTTATGCAATATCTGAAGATGGAGGCATGCATTATCAAAGACACCCCTCCAATGCACACAAACACCCTATTGCATGCTGGTTCTAGGGCACATTCTTTGAAAGCAGTGTGGGACCTCAGATGCCCTGGCCGCCTGGCACTTTGGATGATCTTATTCTTCTGTAGGGGTGGCTAACCTGTGCCCGCCCCCCGATGTTGTCGGTCTCTCCCTCCCATTTGCCTCAGGCAGTACAGACCATGGTCAGGGATGATGGGACTTGAGAGCCAGAGATTCCTCCACCCCTTGTCTATTGTTATTTGGTGTGCTGGTGTGAAGGTCTCAGTTGCAGATGCTATGAACAAAGACTCTTGGATCATCCTTAAAGGTAAAGGGACCCCTGACCATTAGGTCCAGTCATGGCCGACTCTGGGGTTGCGGCGCTCATCTCGCTTTATTGGCCGAGGGAGCCGGCGTACAGCTTCCGGGTCATGTGGCCAGCATGACTAAGCCGCTTCTGGCGAACCAGATCAGCGTACGGAAATGCCGTTTACCTTCCCGCCAGAGCGGTACCTATTTATCTACTTGCACTTTGACATGCTTTCAAATGCTAGGTTGGCAGGAGCAGGAACCGAGCAACAGGAGCTCACCCCGTCGCAGAGATTCGAACCACCGACCTTCTGATCGGCAAGTCCTAGGCTCTGAGGTTTAACCCACAGCGCCACCCGCGTCCCCGGATCATCCTTAGACATGCTTTAATTTTTGGCTCAAGCTAATTTCAGTAACCCTTTTCAGCTTGGTTCATCATCTGCCATGCTTTTTAAAAAACATTTTGGTGTGAGCTACATGTCAAGGGATGGAAGGAAGAGATGGCCCAATACATGCCAAAGCTGAAAATTCCAAACGTCCCCAGCATGCATGTTTTTCATCTCCGCCGAGCTAAGCAGTTGGTTCCTTACCTCTTTCACCCTGCCCTTGCCACTGTGATCCATGCGACGGTCACCTCCAGGCTTGATTATTGTAACTCAGTCTACGTGGGGCTGCCCTTGAGACTGACCCAGAAACTCCAGCGGGTGCAGAATGCCGCGGCGAGACTCCTTACGGGGTCCTTGCCGCGGGATCACATTCTCCCAGTGCTATACCAGCTGCACTGGCTCCCGGTGAAGTACAGGATCAGGTTTAAGGTGCTGGTTTTAACCTTTAAAGCCCTATACGGCCTAGGACCCTTGTACCTACGGGACTGCCTCTCCTGGTGTGCCCTGTGGAGGAACTTACAGTCTGCTAACAACAACACCTTGAAGATCCCAGGCCCCAGGGAAATTAGACTGGCCTCGACTAGAGCCAGGGCCTTTTTGGCCATGGCCTGACCTGATAGAACGCCCTCCCACAAGAGACCAGGGCCCTGCCGGATTTGACATCTTTCCGTGGGGCCTGCAAGACGGAGCTGTTCCGCCAGGAGTTTGGGCAGGATGCAGTTTGACTTACTCTCCTGTGTATAAAACAAGCCCGAAGGATGCCCCCAACCCGCTCACAGGTCCTTGTATGATCAGTGGAAAAAGTTAGTCCTGACAATTATTAAACACTCTCAGTTCCAACCTGATAACTGCCACCTGCCCAGATTTGAACTTGTCTGAATTAATTTTAAGATGTATTTTAATTAATTGATGTCTGTTTTTATGCATATTGTGTTGTTTTTATGATGTCAGCCGCTCCGAGCCCAGCCTCGGCCAGGGAGGGATGGATACAAATAAAAATTCACTATTATATTTAGTAACAGTAATACTTTGCCCCTTATAGAGGATCAAAATGTGCTGGTCCCGGGGGTAAGGTACCGTGGGTGTAGCAGAGTCCACACGAAGAGGGGCGAGGTCCGATGCAGAGAGCCGGGCGGGGAACAGGAACGCTGGAACAGAAGGCTGAGCAGGGAACAGGAACACCGGATGGTCGGGAACAGGAGGCCGAGCAGGGAACAGGAGCACCGGTTAGTCAGGAACAGGAAGCCGAGCAGGGATCAGGAACACAGGAAG